ATTGGTTTCCCTTTTCTTTGTTGAAGAGGGTCTGTGCAATCCTTCTGCCTAGTCCGCCATCTTGCCCCGCCTTCCTGGGGCTGCTCCATTTCTTAACGCCATTATGGAGGCCCTTCCTGGAGACGCCAGTGTCAGAGAGGCAGCCGGTGTTTGAGGAAGAAGGAAAGGAGGAGGGGGAGGTAATGATCTTTTTGCCCTTAATTTGGTAATGTTCCTCCTCTTCCCTTTCTCTTCTTATCTTCTACCACCTCTATCACCCCTCCTTGCTTCTCATTCTCCTCTTCTCACTCCTCTCTCAAGTTCAAAGGGGCCAGGGATCAGATAATGGAGCAAGAGAGAAGTCCTGTCCTCTTATTCCCATCCCAGATCAGGACCCAGGCAGGTTTGGAGAGAGGGGGTGCTGCATCCGGCAAAACCACACAGGTCACGAAATGAAGCGACAGGAAAGGATTAATGGTTTTCTTTATTATTATTTTACAGGAACAGGGGCCAGGCGGATGCCCTGCATGTTCTGTGGGAGCGACCCCTGATGCCTTTGTTCTACTTTATTTATATGTTTGTACATGATTACGTCATTAGTCTTGCAGGTTAGACAATCAGCTTGTTCTCTACAGAGCTAAAGTTTTACTCCTCTACATGCTCAAGGACAACAGGTGGTCATTAAAACAATCACAGGAATCTCCTTAGGAATAAGGAGTATAAAACGATAAATGTTTATAGGACACAGTGACACAAAGTCACTGTCATGGAGAATAACATCTACTTTTAATACTTTGATGTTTTGCCAATTAAGTATTTAACAGTTAGAGAGACCTTGCCATCTCTTAAAGCAACATTCAACCACAGAGAGGTTCTTTAAAAGCAAACACTCAATCACAAGAGAGGCCTCGTCATCTCTTCACTGTAATTAGAACATGTGCCTTGCAATCATGTTCTTTTGGGGGTCTTTTTCTTGGTCCCCAACAAGGGGGCAAAGGGACAGCCCTCTAACCTAGCCTGTAGGATCCCAGCCTGTGGGTCGCTCTTGTTCCAGTATCATTCTGAAAGGGTACAAGGAACCTCTGACGACTGAAGATGTCTGGGACGTCGATGATAGGATTCAAGCCAAGAACCTCGTCAGTAAGTTTGAAACATGCTCAGCGGGAGAGCTGCAGAAGGCCAGGCGGGCACTCCAGAGATGGAGACAAAAGAACTCCCAGAGGAACCTAGAAGCCACGCTGCACGGCTTGAACAAGAACCAGAGTCAAAGCCAAGATGTCCTTGTCCTGGTAACTGTCCCATGAGTTTCTGTGCGAAAATGCTTGTATGTCTCAAAAAGAGGGCATAATGATGATGTCCTTACATTTTTATAACACTTTATGCTTTTCAGAGCTTTTTATATTATTAGCATATTTGCAATATTAATAATATCTTAGTGATGGAAACATGAGAATACACTGTGCTGTTCTTTCTCCTTGAAATTTAATTTCCAAATATTTTCAAATATATTTGAAATTTTCCATAATTTTTTTAAATTAAAAGTATAAATAATACTTTAGCATGATTAGGATCTGCACCTCCATGCATTTAGCATTAACAGCTAATTTATTCACTCAAAAATATTTATTAAATACAACTGTGTGCCAGAGACCATTCCTGGCACTAGGTACAAGAAACAACCATCAAAGAGTCTCCAACTTAGAGAGTTAGAAAATTAAAAATAACCAATGCATGTGTTCCTCCTGTAACTCTAGTTATTGTAACTCTAGTTATAAATGGTATTAAGGAAAGACAACATGTTAATGCTTTGGGAGTATTCAAGGGAGACTTCTCAGAGGAGGTGGCATTTGAGCAGAGACCCAAATATAAGAACAGTCCATCTATAGGGCCATCAAAGCAAGTGTGTTCCTATCAGAGGGAGCAGGAGTACAAGGCTGAGAAGGGGGGAAAGTTTGGCTCATTCAGGGAACTGGATGAAGGCACAGGGGCATCATGAGAGAGGCTGAGTGTGGTATGAAATGAGCTCAAGGAGGTGAATAGGGGCTAAAATGTGAAGACCCCTGTGGGCCATAGTAAGGAGTCTGGATTTTAAGTCTGATGGAAAGCCTATGAAAGGTTTTGGGCAGAGGAGTGGTGTGATCTGATTTATATTTTTAAAAGTCCCATGGGCTAAAAAAAGGACAGACAGATATAGATAAGTCACCCAGGCAAGAGAGACAGATTGGATGGGACCTCAGTAAAAAAGATGTAGATACTGAAGCTTGAGAAGCTAGCATCTGGGGACAGGATGGGACTCTGGAGAATAAAATGAGGAGGCTGCAATATAGGAAAAAGAAAAGGCTGGTGAGTGAGTGGTAAAATTCCCATAACAACCATATGTAGGAAAAGAACCAAAAAAAAAATAAAAAGAGTTCTAAGCATCCAAGCTCTGATGCCACAGTGGTTAAGTGCTTGGTGGCTAACCAAAAGGTTGGTGGTTAGAACCCAGCAGCTGCTTCATAGGGGGAAAATATGACATTCTGCTTCTGTAAAGATGTAAACCCTATGGGGCACTTCTACTGTGTCCTACAAGATTGTTATGAATTGGAATCAGCTTGACAGCAATGGGTTTCCAACACTACATAACCCTGTGTACGTCGTTGTTTGGTTTTGTATTTAGGAAGAAGCTAAAAAGGAAAAAACAAAGCCAAAGAGCACAAAAGACTTTCCCAAGTCCTGGTTGGTGAAGGCCCTCTTCAAGACTTTCTACACTGAACTCCTAAAATCATTCCTGTTGAAGCTAATACATGACCTCTTCGTATTTCTGAATCCTCAGCTGCTGAAGTGAGTCCTCAGGCCTTGGATTGCCCTCTCAGGGCCCCCTCTGCTACCCTTGTGTGCATGAACAGGAGCTTATTATTAAATTTCCATTTTAAAGTGCTCATGATTTTCCTCCACCTTAACAGAGTTGCATTTGTGAAAAATGCAAGGTAGTTTTTAAGATCTTAGATGATGTATACTTTAGCTTCCTTCATTTCTACCTCACTCCCCTCACAGAAAGCCAGGTATCTGCTATGGGCAGAGCCATCTCCAAGAGGTGGGCGGCATACCCCAGGAGAAATCTGTATCTGGTATCTGCAAACTCATTTCCCCACAGTCATAGGCTTTCGTGGGAGATTTGGGTTAATCCTGACAGCACTATGCAATACGTTGGGACCTATACAATGAACCATCCTCCAGGGGGAAGACCTTCAAACTCATGATAGATAGACATCCTAATTCCTTTTCAGGCTTCTGTTGTCCAGGAACCAATCAACTTGGTTCCCACACACCCACTGAGTCTCTTTTATTGGAGTCTCTTTCCACTCATCTCCAAGCAAAAGCAAGAGCACTGGCAAGACTGTGGAGCTTAGGTTTTCCAAAAGTATTTGGCCATTCTGGTTACTTTTGTTACCTGTAGGGTAAAGGCACACACACAAGGAAAATAAGGAGCCCTTGGAGGCCTGGTGGGCATCACTTACCGGATTTTGCCCTGACAGATTACTGATCTCCTTTGCAAACGATCGTGAGACATATGGATGGACTGGATATATCTATTCAGTCCTCTTCTTTGTTGTGGCCCTCCTCCAGTCCATATGCCTTCAGTGGTATTTTCAATTCTGCTTCATGATAGGCATGAATGTACGGACAACCATCATGGCTTCTGTATATAAGAAGGTAAGCAAAATGTATCAGGTATCACCAAAGAAAATTTCCTTATTAAGCAGGACTAAGTTATTCCAAGATTGAGGAAAACACGATGCAGTGATAAATGACCACAACATTTCATTTTGATTAACCATGTGGCTGCCTTTAGATGTTTCTTTGGAAATTAAATGTACGACGTGTGTTCACAGACATGGAGTATGTATGGAGAGGGTACAAACTCCAGGGAAAAGCGGGCAAGCTACCCTGCCCAGGATCTGCCTTTCAGCCTTGAAGGCTCAGATATGCGTTCCCTCCTTCTCACCTCTCTCAACAGAATGAGAATGCCTTGGGAAAGAATGTCAAGTCAGTAACTAAGCTGGCCAAGGCTCAAGACCTTACAACCACCAACATTTAAACCAAATATTTCATGAAACGGGGCTAAGAAGGGTTACTTAGGACTAAATAAATGTTCTTTCTACTTTATTGAGATTTATTGAGAAAAGAAAAACATAGTGATTACTCTGAAGCGTAGTTAGATGTTGTTTACTTTGTTTTCCTTTTCCATATGTGGCCTGATTTAGAAAATTTTTGTCTTTTTACTGTATACCCAAGAATCCTGATATGTTCCAAAGAATGTATTGGTGCATTAAGATGACAGTAGAGACTCTAAGAAAGGAGATGAGATGGGGTTGGTTATCAAGAGCTGCTTCAAGCCAATGCACTGTCTTTGTGGGAATCAGAAGAAGGCACCCCTCCCTTGGGAAGATGCAACTCATACTAGATGATGGTTTGGTGAGCATAGTGCAAACAGCTTGCAGTGCCCCAAGCCCTCTGGCTGAGTGCACTTGTGCAGGGCATTTTTGTAAGTGACAGATCTGTGGTTGTCAGCCTCTGATCTTTCTTACACGAAAACAAGAGGTCCATACCACAAGATTCAGGCATCTAGATAGATATTGCCCCAGAATTCCTGACAACAGACAAGCCCTACGGCTTTCCTCTCTGTTCTAAGATCTCTGTCCTTGTTGGGAATGGTTGCAACCTCTTTATAAGAATATGGCTCTAAATACCATTGCCTGTCAGAAGCCTTCAAGACCCGGATCAAAACATGCTAGTGTCCATCCTCTTTTCTTCTTTCTTTCCTTCATTCCTTTATTCTTCCCTCTTTCCCTGCATCACCCCTTCCTCCCTCCTTCCTTCCTTAAATTCTTTTCTTACAACCTCTTTCCTTCCTTCTCCCCATAAATATTTGATTCCCTACTCTGTGGACATGATACAATAATAAAAATGGACAGAAGTAGTTTTGGCCTCACAGAGTTTACATCTAGTAGACAGATAGAAAAGCGAACAATTATAATTCATGTGATAAATGTAGTAACAGCGATAAGCACAAGATGTTATGGGTTATCTAACCCATATTTGTGTCAGGGGAGGCTTCTCAGAAGTGCCATCTAAATTGACACCTAAAGGTTAATAGGAGTTTTCTAGGCCAAAAAAAAAAGTGTGTGTAAGAGGTTAGAGGAAGGTGGGAATAGCAAGAAAGGGTGGTCAAGAGTGAGAGGACACTGAAAGGTTTCTCTCTTGGAAAAGTTGTGTCCATGTGGAGCCCGTCCTTCCATCTTGCTTTCACTTTCTGAGCCTCCTCACCCCACGGCCTCCTTGTAGATGGGGCTCAATGCCGATCTTTATCTTTAGGCACTGACCCTGTCCAACTCTGCCAGGAGGCAGTACACTGTTGGAGAAACAGTAAACCTGATGTCTGTGGATGCCCAGAAGCTCATGGATGTGACCAACTTCATCCACTTGGTGTGGTCAAGTGCCCTGCAAATTGTTTTATCCATCTTCTTCCTGTGGAGAGAGTTGGGGCCCTCAGTCTTTGCAGGTGTTGGATTGATGATTCTTCTAATCCCAATGAATGGGGTACTGGCCACCAAGAATAGGAAAATTCAGGTAAGGAAACAGAGTCATCCTGGGGAGATAGGACTTCTTCAAAATCTGAACTACTTTGCTTATTCTGCTGTAACTCTTGGTGGGAGTTTGGGCAAAGCAAAGTGGGTTAAAGACTTTCTACTATCCCAAGTGAACTTGGTTTTCTCTATCTTCTCTTTACATCTTCTAAGCACTTTTAGAGTTTATATATTCTCTCTTTATTCATATTACACGGAAGAACCAAACTGGAGAGGGAAAGGGCTGTCCCAGAGACCTGCATATAACTCTTCCACCCTGCTCTACTGGGCTGCCCTCAGAACAGTGATCTGTGCCCCTGCCTGCCATCATAGCAATACAAACCAGTCATACATAGCAGTTACATTAGGGATCCAAACTTTAAATCCATGTCCTTAGGCAACCACTGCTACTACCACTAGCTAGGAGGGCTCCATGTGGACATTCCTTAGCTCTGCCAGAAATCAGAGGCGGGGTGAGTGAACTTGCTGGTGTGAGTGTATGAATTATTCATTATTTTTGATTCATTGAATTATAAATATTTATTTAAAAAATAGTTCATGTGCATTTTACTATTCTGGGAATGCACCAGCAAATTAAACAAATTTCCTGCTTTCATAGAGTTTACTTTCTACTTGGAGGATGGAGACACAGGCAATAAACAAAAAGAATTAAATTAAGAAAAATATCAGATCACGGTTAGTACTATGCAGAGAATTAAATAGGGTGACATGATGGTGAGTGAGTAGGTGGTTATTTTTGATGTGAGGGTCCAAGAAGACCTCAGTGAGGAGGAACATTTAAGTGGAGATCTAATTGACACAAGCTGACTATGAAGGAAAAACTTTGGGAATGGCAGAACAACTTGGGTGGAGGGGACAGTCAGGCAAAGGCTCGGGGTAGCAGTGAGCTTGGTATGCTCACAGATCAGATAAGAAGACCAGACTGGTAGGAGGGGAGTGGCTAAAGAGGAGCATAAACCCAACCCAACCCAACCCACTGCCATTGAGTTGATTCTAACTCATAGCAGCCCTATAGAACAGAGCAGAACTGCCCCATAGTGTTTCTAAGGCTATAAATCTTTATGGAAGCAGACTGCCTCATCTTTCTCTCACAGAGCAGCTGGTAGGTTTAAACTGCTGACCTTTTGGTTAGCAGTCAAATGCTTTAAACACTACACCACCAGAGCTCCTAAAGAGCATTAAAAAATAAATAAAAAAAAACACCACCAAACTCACTGCCGTCCAGTTGGTCCCGACTCATAGTGACCCCTACTTGCATTTCTGAGGCCCTATCTCTATGGAAGTAGATTGCCCAGTCCAAGGAGTGGCTGGTGGATCTGAACTGCCAGTCTTCTAGTTAGCAGTCAAATGCCTTAGGCATTAGAGCCACCAAAGCTCCCAAAGAGGAGCATAGTAAAAAAAAAAAAAAAAAAAACCTCACTGCCGTGGAGTTGGATCAGATTGATAGTGACCCCTCCTTGGGTTTCTGAGGTGGTATCACTATGGAAGTAGATTGCCCAATCTGCCTTCTGAGGAGTGGCCGGTGGGTTTGAACCACCAGCCTTCTGGTTAGCAGTTAAATGCCTTAGGCACTATGCCACCAGGAGAGCTTAATATCCCATTATTGGACACCTCACAATGACAGCCACAACTGCCCCCTGAGACTTGACATCTGCAGGTAACCTGGACTCACTTACGGACATGTGCTGTGTTTTTGTTTTGCTTTTTCCTGGCAGGTAAAAAATATGAAGAATAAAGACAAACGTTTGAAGATTATGAATGAGATTCTTAGTGGGATCAAGGTAAGATGCTGAGCTTAGGCTGCCCTCTGTGTGCAGTGACAGAGCAATAGATTTTGTGGCCTTAACACACCCTAAAGAGAGGTTGTGGCTTCCTGCGTCTGGTCCTGTTGAATGTCAGACAACTCCTGATTCCTCCACCCACTTATCTCCTCCTGTTTCATATTCTACTACTCCTTATAGACCCTATTTTTAACCTTAATTTCTATTTATCCTAAATATTTCTTGTTTTCAGCCACTCCTCGGAAGGAAGGTTGGGCAATCCTACTTCCATAGTGATAACTGCCTCGGAAACCCAAGGAGGGGTTGCTAGGAGTTGGGGCCGACTCTATGGCAAATAACAACAACAACAACATTTCTTGTTTTGTTTTTACATTTTATTGTAGAAATTTTCAAACAGACACAAAAATAGAGAGGCTAATATAATGGACCTCCATGGACTTATCACCCAGCTTTAGTGGTTATCGATGTGACCCATCTAGTGACAGGCATGCACCCACTCCCCACGTCATGACCTGCTTGATTATTTTAAAGCAATTGTCAGATATTCTGTCCTTTCATTTGTAAATACTCTGAATCTCTAAAAGAAGGATTTCCTTTTCTTTCCTTTTTTTTTTTTTTAGCATAACCTTGATATTAGTGTCACACCTAAAAAAATTAACAATCATCCTTTGATAAGATCAAATTTCCCCAACTGTCTCATAATTTGTTTTAGCAGTTGGTTTGTTTGACTAAGAATCCCAAAAATCTCCACAAATGGCATTTAATAGTTAATGCCTTTAACTTACAACAGACCTTTCTTCCTTTTCTTTTGGTCATTAATTAGTGAAACCATGTTTGTCTTGTTTTCTGTATTTCTTATAAACCGATAGTTAGATATAGAGGCTTGATTAGAGTTAAGTCTAGTTTGGGGAGGGAAGGGATACTTTCAGGTGGTGCTGTGTACTTCCAAATGTGCATGATGACAATTGGTTAGTGGGGTCCAGGAGTCATCAGCCAGTTCACCCATTATAAAGGTTCCTGCCATTCTTTCACCTAGAGAAGTGATTTGTAACCCTGATAGCACATTAGAATCAGTGGGGAGGTCGGACCCCACCTCTAAGCAATTAAATTAGACTCCCTAACAAGTAGGTCCAACTATCTATATTTTTAAAAAGTATTACTAACTTTTTATGGTAATTTGGGTGGAAGTTTACAGAATAAATTGGTTTTCTGTTCAACAATTCATACACATTTTGTTTTGCAACATTGATTACAATCCTCACTATGTAACAACACTCTTACCACTTCCTCCCTGTGTTTACCATATCCCTTTATCCTTTCCTATCCATTCCTGCCTTCAGAGCTTTACCCCTGGGTAAATGCTGCTCTTTTGGTTTCTTATGTTTGATTGTTCTAAGAAGTGCACACCTTCCTGATATTATAGTTCACCTCATAGTCCTGTCTATTGTTTGGCTGAAAGTTGAGCCACGAGAGTGAGTTCAGTTCCAGGCCTGAAGAGTGACTAAGGGCCATAATCCCAGGCATTCCACCAGTCTCTATCAGACCAGTAAGTCTGGTCTTTTACTATTATTATTATTTTGAGATTTGTTCCACACTTTTCTCCCCTTTTACCCAGAATCATCTATTGTGGTTCCTTTTAGAGTGATTGGCTGTGGTGGTCAGGCACCATCTAGTTCTTCTGGTCTCAGGGTCATGGAAGCTAAGTTTCATGTGATCCACTAGTCTCTTGGAGAAATTATTTCCATGTGTCTTTGATTTTCTTCACTCTATTTTTTAATAACTCCCTAAGTGATTCTAATATGCAGCCACGGTTAAAAACCATGGTTGTAAAAGTCTTAGCAGTCACTGATGATCAACCCATTATTTCATTAGGGGTTGCAAAATAGTGATATTCTAATTCTATTTTCCTTTGGTCTTTATTAGTTGGCATACTATAAAGAAGATGACAGGATAGGCAGAATGAATGTGTCCTTCATTCCCTCTACTTACAGCTTCAAAATAATGTATTTCCCTCTACAGTTTTCAAAATAATGTATCATCCTCCAAAGGTGACCAATACATTCGTGTTTTTGTGGGTTTTTTTAGTAATGTTTTAAAATTCATGGATTTCAACATTACCCTGAACTTCTTGAAGATGAAGCAGGGGTCCCTTTAGCTCCCTGATAGTTCCCCACAGAGAGCTCTGATTGACTTTGTGCTAATATGACAAAATTGAAAGGTAGTCCTGATTTTCAGTCTCCGCTTTACCATTTGCCAACTCAGTGACCTTGAGCAAGTTACTTCCCCTCTCAGCTTGTTTCTTTATTGAGGAAAAGGAGACAAAAATTCTACATATGTAGGGTGACCATCTCACCCTGGCTTGCCCAGAACTTTCCATGTTTTAGCACTGAGAGCCCAGCACCCAGGGAGCATTCTTAATCCTGGGCTAAGTCCTGGGGCACTTGGTTAAACTAAAGTTGTTAAAAGCATAAAGCGAGATAATATATATAAAATGCTTGGGACATAATAGGTTATCAACAAATACAAGCTACCTTTCTGTAATCACACTTCATAGTCTGGATTTCTACCTGCCTAAATTTGGAGGAACGTATTCTAAAACATGGGTGGATGAGACGTACCTGGTGGCCTTTCAGGGCAAGAGTATGAGCAGTGTTCTTTTCTAACCTCTTAGATCCTAAAATATTTTGCCTGGGAACCTTCTTTCAAAAGCCAAGTCAATAATCTTCGGAAGAAAGAGCTCAAGAACCTGCGGACCTTTGCCAAGATGCAGTCTGTGATCATGTTCATCTTATACTTAACTCCAGTTCTGGTGAGTGGTGGAGAAGTCAGTGGGTTGTGTATGCTTTTGGACTTGAGACAGCTTCCTGGACAATAATATCCTTATAGACTGCCCAGCACCCCTAGGCCTGCCCCTAGAGTCTAAGGAACTCAGCCTCCCTCCTCAACTCCCCATGCTGCTATTCCTACCTAGTGATCTACAACCCTCCCTACTCCCCTCCCCCAGTGCGTTTCATGTGTGCATATACTGTTAGAAGATTTGGAAGCCCAGATAGAGTTTTTAGAATGTTTAGGATGAATGCATCAAGGAATACTTTGCATAGGACAGCTTCTTATCTTCTTGGGGAGGCAATGTGAGTCTATACTGAAAGGAACACAATACAGGAGCCAGGAAAGTCAAGCTCTTGACCCCAAAATGCCATTAATTGACTTTGTGACTTTGGACAAGATATTTCCCTTTCTCTCGGCCTCAGTTTTCTCATCTGTAACGTGAGGAGGTTGGGATAATCCATAAGGCCCCTTCAACTCTGATATACAGGTAGTCCTGGATTTATGACACATTCAAATTATGAGGAACCATACTTAGGACCATCCACTTTTTTAGTATATCTTGTTAGTAATATGTGCTACGTAGTGTTGCAGTGTATAATTTGCTGATCTTATCAGTATCAGTAGTTTATATGTAATGTTTTCAACCCCCAAAGACAAATAAAAATCAGATTTATAAAAATTCTGATGATAAAAGACAATAATAATGGGGGGGAAAATAAGGTATTTGACTTACATCAGAACCGACTTTTGGCTGAGTTGTTGGAACCCCATAATAACTCAAGGACTACGTATACTGTGCTTCTGATGCTGCTTGGCCCCTTTTAGGAATAAATTGCTCATGACCTTGCTCTTTTCAGGTGTCTGTGGCCACATTTTCAGTTTACGTCCTGGTGAGTAGCAACAATATTTTGGATGCACAAAAGGCCTTCACCTCCATCACACTCTTCAACATCCTGCGCTTTCCCCTGAGCATGTTCCCCATGGTAATCTCCTCCATTATCCAGGTAGGTAGGAGCACTCATTGCTAAATGCTTATCTTTGGTTAAAAGCCTCAGAGCCCAGAATGACTGACATATCATATGTCATTTCTAGGTTCTCCTCAAGACTTTCAATTACAGAGAGCTGTTTGGTCACTGGAAATCAATAGTTTAATCTTAGTAAAATTACAGGCTTTCTGAGCCTTACTTTATCTGACTACACACACACAAAAAAAAACCCAGACCCACTGCTGTTGAGTCCATTTCGATTCATAGCGACCCCCATTGGGTTTCTGAGGCAGTAAATATGGAAATAGATTGCCCTGTCTTGCTTCCACAAAGTGGCTGGTCGGTTGGAACCACCAACCTTCTGGTTAGCAGTCAGATGCCTTAGGCACTGTGCTACCAGAGCTTCTTTATCTGACTATAAGATGAGGTTAATCATACCAATCTCATCTACTTCACAAGAAGATAATGCTTATACAAGTATTTAGTGAAATTATTATGATTAGCCCTGGTTCCTGGAACATTACTAAGCCCCTTTCCAAACCAGTTTCTCTGACATTTTTCCAAGGCTCTTGCAGTGTTTCTAGGCAAACATGCACAAAGAGTAAAAGTCCATATGGTGGTAAAACCAAACACAGTGGAATCTCAAACTGTCAGAAAATGAGTGTGGCGTTCAGGAGTCCTTGAATGGGCCAGAGAGTGTTTCGGTCCTGAAAACTGAGACGGAATAAGTATCAGATGTCAGTAGGAAGTTCACAGCCTGGGTGATAGGATGAAAGGGAAGTGGAGTGTGGTGACAACCAATCTGAAAGCAGGTGATTGGAGTGGATCCCAGAGGAGGCTTGTGTCAGACAGTTCAGTCCACATGAAGAACTGGGGCTTAGGAAAAGTCCTCCCTGTCCTGGAGCCTATGAAGCAAGATTGACAGATTTGGCAAATGGCAAATGTGTAGGCAAGAAGCCTGGAAGATTCACTGTCTGCTTCTGTACCCAAGGCTGATGACTCAGAACCAGAAAACCATTCCCTACTTATACTTGCTATTAGCTGTTTTATTTTTGAGATCCTTTGTGTCCCTCTCTAGGCCAGTGTTTCCACAGAACGACTAGAGAAGTACTTGGGAGGGGATGACTTGGACACATCTGCCATTCGACATGACCCCAATTCTGGTAAATGAATTTGGAAGTTGTTACCCAAACATATTTACAGTGATGGCACCAGAAACTTATATACTAGGGCTAAGCAGCAGTAAACTGATTATAATGGAAAGCTAGGGAACTCACCTTGAACCTACGTTTGCATAATAGTTTAAAAAAAAAAAAAAACAGCATGCACCTTTTATTTAGATTATGTTTTTGTTTAAAGCAGCTTGCTTTGCAAGATCACTTGCAAAGTAGAGCTGAGTCATTTGTTCTGAGGAGAAGCAAGGAGTTCTGCAAAGGGTCCTGAAGTAGTAGTAATGATGAGGCTGAGCATGTGGAACTGGGAAGGTAGTGTGGAGTAAAAGAGCACACATGTTCTAAAGTTTTAATGATTGGCAGTATCCATGGTCACAGTGAGCAGTGGTCTGGAATCCAGAATGGAGAGTGAATGGATGTATAAGAAGAGGTGGAATTCCTACAAGGAGACTAGGCAGCAGAGGGGTTGGGAATGTTCCCAGAGTATCTGAAGGACAGGAATGTGTGCTACTAATAGGCTTGAGGCTCCTGAATTGAGGTCAATTTTGGGCTCATCTCAGAAGCTTTTGTTCACCTCTAGTCTAGGAGTCAGCATGTGACAGAGGTGATCTCAGGTCTGCTGGAAATATGAGGGCTGAGAAAGGGTAGACTGACAGGTGGGAACTTACATCTAACTAAAAGAAGAGGCCCTTTTCTTGACAGACAAAGCTATACAGTTCTCTGAGGCCTCCTTTACCTGGGACCAAGAGTTGGAAACCACAATCCGAGAGTGAGTTGCCCTTTATCCAGCCTGCTGTTTTTTAGGATTCTCCTTGCTGGTCTTGTTCTTGGAAAATTCCATGATATTGAGCATGTAGGGAAAAGAGCAGTGTGGGTGTGCAGTTAGGTAGTAGTGTAGACTGAACCCTTAAAGGGATATGCTGACAGCAGAGACCCTGAACCTCTTACCTCATAACTGCATCTGCTCCCAGATTTCCTATTGTGGACCCTACACATCAGCTGAGAACCCATGAAGATGTGTGCTCTCCAGATTATGGAGAGAAGTAGTGCAGTGTTGGCAGGTGGCCTAGGTCTCTGGGTATAATAGAGGATACACACATGAACCTGAACTACATTTAAATTTAGTTACTCATTTAACAATAGTAATCAAGAATGTGGAAATCTGGCTTCTTTCTCCAAAGTGGGCAGTAGGAGGTACTGTCAAAAGATTCAACTTCAGATCTGGAGTTTTGCATCTTAATAACCTATTCCCACATCCCACTCTGTAGACCATCTCCCAGCAGGTGTTTCTGCCCTTAGCCAACTCCCTCTTGCCCACTGTTGCCTGCAACTGTCTCTTAAGCACTATGTGTACCAACACATCACAGCTCATCCACTGAACAGGCTCATATCTTTCATTTCTCACAACCGAGCACACTTTATCATCTCCCTGCTACACTCATGATTTCCACCCTTCCTACATCCTTTAAGATGGACTCTGGAGTTAGGCCTGAGATGAGGCAGGGCAAGAGCTCTTCTCTTAGTTCTTCAATGGCTCACATCTGAAAAAGTTCACCCCCTTGAACAGTTTCAAAAAGAGTATGAACAAGGTCCTGATGTTCCTGATGTGTAGGGGCTCAAATAATAGGACTGGCACATAGAGTTCTCAGGAGCCTCGCCCAATATGGGCCCTTCCCCAGCCAGACACAATCCCCAGGGTGAAGGTCAGGGAATCTGTGCTTTTAACGAGTGTCTCATTGAATAGCCAAGTTTGGGAAACACTCATCCAGCCCAACCCCATTATTTTAGAGATGCAGATCCTTAATCCAGAGAAAGTGACCCTCCAAGATCACACAGCTCAGCAGTGACCAAGTTAGAACTTGGACCAGGTCTCCAGCTCCCAGTCAGGTGCCTGTTCAAAGGCACCATGCTGGTTCTAAGGCAATGTCATGAAGCCCACATTTGGCACAGACAGCTTATAGTTGAGTTGGATAAGTTAAGGCTCATTCTCTAGCTTCTTAGAGCTAAAATATCATCAAGGAAGCACTTTGAGGTCTTGCATATCCAAGACAAATTTTATAATCTTAAGGAGGAAATGTCCTAATACCAGACTCCCATTGGATAGTCTGAAAAGTGACTTGAGTTCCTCTTGAATAACTTCCCATCTGCTTCAAATACCCTTCTTTCTTTCAGTGTCACTCTGGACATTATGCCAGGCCATTTGGTGGCTGTAGTGGGCACTGTGGGCTCTGGAAAATCCTCCTTGATGTCAGCCATCCTGGGAGAAATGGAAAATGTCCATGGACACATAACCATCAAGGTGAGAGGAAATGCAAATGGAGAAGACTTCTGATATTCACCTGTGGGCCATTTGGGAGGATGCACTGAAAACTAGAATCTGATAACAATTGCTCTGGCTTCTCTAAGTGAAGTCTTAGAGAAATCTGGTGGACATGTAAACTGTAGATTCCCTGCCTGATCCCAAACTTATATAATTAGACTCTGGAGGTAAAACTTAAGAATCTTTAATGGTTCCCCCAGATGGTTCTTATATGCAAACTAATGTTTGAAAACTGTCAACTAGAGAAATCTCCCTTCAAAATACAGCCATCTCTGCTATAATTATGTATGGTTTCTGTACACCTTTAAAGGAAAGGAATTGGGACAGCTCACTGAAAACCTAGTAATTTTGTAGCCAGAGTATTAACAAAAACACCAACAACAGTACTATCTCAATAGCAATACCAACAGTAGCACTGGAAATTCTCCATCGACATTTGCATACGGCATCACCTCACCTCTTCCTTTGGTCTCTGAGGGCATTTGCTTCCAGTAAAAACAATCTGATGCAGGGTGTAGATGTTTTCATCAATTATTATTATTATTATTTTTAACACAGAGGAGATGTTCCCATGGCATCTTTATTAGCACTCTCAGCTATACCAGAGACCTAAACTTAGGTATTTTTGAGTCATTAAGCCAGTTACTACTTACACCAAAGAGAAACACTTCTGTTAATTTTCAGTGTTTTTTTTTCTTAAGGTCTTCATGTTGTGCTAAGGCTTTCTCTTTAATTATGAGGAAGTATGCCCCCCAATTGCTTTAAAACATCAACGTGCTTGGAAAACATTTTAAGAGCCAACACTTCTTTCACATTATACCGACATCATTCTCTTACTTACAAATAATCAATGAGCTATTAGCCTGAAATAAGCGCTCACTGGAGCAGAGCTGACCCACAGATCTCTGTCCCCTAACTCCCTTTAGGAAACTCAAGAAGCTGCTTCTTGCTGACTCATAGCTGAGCTCTTCCTCAGACATCTTTCAGGCTCCGTCTCTCTTTGCACATGATCTGTTTCTGCATCACCCTGGCATCCTAATAATTCCAGCCTCTTAGTTTTTGCTTCCTAGGATGACTTCCATGCTCTTCCCCCTGCCAGCGTTAGTGCTCAGTTAATCAGACTCATTGGGGTTCAACTAACACCCAGGTTTAAAATCAGCACTTGCATTCATCTTCTAAATCTTCAGGATCATGGCTAGAAAATGATAGAGAGGAGGGAAAAAAAACAAAAACAGCAGCACCAAATGGTAAGTAGAGGATGGCAAATGTTTTCTCCCTGGTCAGAGAAAAACCCACTTAAAAATATCAGATGGGCAGCCAGCAGGACACACATTTCTTCAAATCTAAGCTCCATTTGCTCCTCCCCTTCCTGTCACCTCATCCTTCAACCTTGCATTTCTGGAGAGGCAACAGTTCTATGATCTAAACCTTTCCTGTCTAGGGCACCATTGCCTATGTCCCACAGCAGTCCTGGATCCAGAATGGCACCGTAAAGGACAACATCCTTTTTGGATCAGAGTTGGATGAGAGGAAGTACCAGCAAGTACTAGAGGCGTGTGCCCTCCTTCCAGACTTGGAAATACTTCCTGGAGGAGATCTGGCTGAGATTGGCGAGAAGGTATCTGAGCACCAAGGGGCCTTGCCAGGGGGGTGAAAGATTGAACAAAAAGTGGGGATACTGAAGAAACATGTGGGAGTAAAATTGGTTGAGCAACTTTGGTAGCCATATTTGGAACACGTTTTAGTTATCTAGTGCTGATACAACAAAAATACCACAAGTTGATGGCTTTAACAAACAAATTTATCTTCTCACAACCTAGGAGGCTAGAAGTCCGAATTCAAGACACCAGCTCTAAGGGAAGCCTTTCTCTGTCTGTTGGCTCTGGGGGAAGGTCCTTGTCTCCTCAGCTTCTGTTTACTGGTTTCTTGGTATCAATCTTGCCCCATCTCTCCTCTGCTCACTTATTTGATCCTTTATATCTCAAAAGAGATTGACTCAAGATATGCCTATACTCTTTATATATCGAAGGAAATTTTCTTTGTTGATTACCAGGGGTGAGAGGGGAAGGTAGGGAACACTGTTAGATAGGTAGAGACAAGTATTGATTTGGGTGAAGGGGAATGTACCAAATGTGAATGATCAACATGGTGGCACTGAGGAAGAGGAAGACACAGAGAGGTACATGGGAGGTACAGATAACACATACAGTACTGCATTGTCCATGAAGGCAAACGTGGCTATATGGGTGGATAGATGGGTGGACAGGATGAACTATTAGGTATGTCTATGCAGGGGGAGTGTGCCCAAGACCACATATAGGGTTGGCAGACAATATTTCTACAAGTGTATTTGTACGTTCGGTAAGAATTCCCAGGTATATAGTAGAGCTGACAAGGGACAAGGTTGTAGTCACTTCTTGGCCACAGCCAGCTACTCAGAGTGACTGAGTAGTTGAACCTATGGGCTTGGGACCATAGTTGCAGGGGACATCAAGCTCAACTGGCATAACACACTACACAAAACATTGTTCCACCTCCTACTTTGGCGAGTAGCAGATCTTAAAAGCTTGCAAGCAGCCATCTAAATGCAACAATGGGTCTCTCCTCATTCAGAGCAAAGAAGAATGAAGAAAGCCAAAGATTCATGGAAACAATTAGTCCAAGCAACTGGTACACTATGCGATTTTCAGCCTATACGACTATGAGAACAGAAGAACTAGATGGTGCCCAGTTACCACTGTCAACTACTTGGAGGGGGATCTATGTAGAAGATCAAGAAACCATAAGAGATCTACTCTGGAGAGTGGAAGAACAATGTGGAACAAAACTCAAAATCATTTATAAAAAAAAAAAAAAGGAGACCAGGTTTGCTGGTCTGATAGAGCCTGGTGAAACCACTGAGACTATGGGCCCTAGCTACCCTTCAGGTCTGGAATTGAACCCACACCTCTGGCTTCCAGCCAAACAAAAGCCACGTATATGAGGTCAACATTTACACTAGGTAGATATACTCCTTGGAGAGAACAATCATGGGAGAATAGAAGGGCTGTGTATACACAGGGAGAAAGTTCAGGGGGCAGGAGTGCATGGAGGGAAGGACACAGGGAAGAGGTAACCATGGGGAGGAAGTGGGAGGGGAGCTGTTGCATTGTGGTAAATTGTAGTCAATGTCATGAGACAGTGTATATGAACTGCTGTATGGAAAGTGAATTTGCTCTGTAAACTTTCACCCAAATCACAATTTAAAAAAAAAAGAAAAGATACACCTACACTAATCTTGCCTCATCAACATAACAAAGAAAACCCATTCCCAAATGGAATTATAACCACAGGCATAGAGGTTAGAATTTACTACACCTATTTTCTGTGGACATAATTCAATCCATAGCAGAACAGATAAAAGAAAACTTGTGTTTGCACTAACTGGCCACAATATTGTGTGAAAATCACTCAGAATTGTTAAACTTTGTGCCCAGAAATTAATACAGAAATAATGTACTCTAAGGCTAAGGACCAGAGAGGTTAAATTACCTGTGACTGACCCAAGAGGCCAAGGCGAGACCAGAGCCTACGTGCACTGACTCTACTTCTGTATATCAGTGAGCATCAGAGGATGGTTCTAGTAATCTACTTCAGTCACTTAGGAATTTACTGTGAATTATTTTCTCAGGTTATTAAACACCTTTCTTTAAAATAGATTTTTAATGGCTCTATTGTATTCCATTATTTGAGTATACCATAATTTATTTAGAAATTGCTGATTACTACGTATTAGGACATTTTCATCTTTCCACTCTATTACTGAAAATGAATACAGCAGTCTTTTGGGGACAAGGATCTTGAGATGTTAGAAGACTAGTAGAAACAAAGCTGTAGGGTAATTTTGTTTGTTGCTTCAACATACATTTCTTGAGGACCTACTATGTGCCATTGTTTTAAGTACTGGAGTGACATCCGTAGACAAAATAGAGAAAATCTCTGCTGTGATGCAACTCTACATTCTCATAAATATATAATAGAAAATCGTAACAGCTTTAATTATTGGGCATAAAATTATTTATTTGAATTAAAATTTTTTATTTGTATATAGGAACTTGTAAGATTTTAAAACTGTTGATACCTTATGGAGGCAAATCTCTCCCTTGTCCCTGTTTATTAGCCTCTGTTAAAGTTGGACCAAGGAATACTACTTAATGCAAATGGTTTTCTTCTTCAGGGTATAAATCTTAGTGGGGGTCAGAAGCAGAGGATCAGCCTGGCCAGAGCCACCTATCAAGATTCAGACATCTACATTCTGGACGACCCTCTGTCAGCTGTGGATGCTCATGTAGGAAAACATATTTTCAATAAGGTCCTGGGCCCCAATGGCCTGTTGAAAGGCAAGGTGAGAAGTCGTTTAAACTGAAGAAGACATGGGGTAGGGGACACACATCTCCCAGGTCAGCTGTTGTCCTGAAGTAAATTTCCTTACTTATGTAACCCCTAGGAGCTCTGGTAGCATAGTGGCTAAAGCACTTGACTGCTAACCAGAAGGCTGGTGGTTCAAACCCACCAGCCACTCCTCAGAAGGAAGGTTGGGCAACCCTACTTCCGTAGTGATACTGCCTCAGAAACCCAAGGAGGGGTCGCTATGAGTCGGGGCTGACTTGACGGCACATAACAACAACAACAACAACAATGTAACCCCTGGGCATCTCAGGAGATACAGTGTTAGACTGGTCTCCCAAGGGTCTATCCCATGAATGCACCCATCTTCAGACCACACCTTATGCCAGAACTGGCTAATTGAAGCCTTGTTCTGTGGCCCCAAAATTAAGCATCTTCAGATGATTGGTTATGATTAAAAGTACTTGGGGACTCAACAGTTCGCCTTGCTGGTGGGACATGGGTAATCCTGTAGGTGCTTTAAGAAGGTATTTTCCCTGGCACCCTTGCAGGACATAGCACCTGGAAAGGGTGGCTCACCTGAATATAAAAATAATACCTCACATATATTGAGTGTTCACTGTGTCCTGGGCCTGTGTTAAGCACTTTACATGCACTGTTTCATTTGATTCCCATAATTCCCCTGTGAGATACTGGCCAGAGCATGTCACTAGGGCTGCCCATAGATGACGAGCAGGCTTTCCTTACCATGAATAAGTTAGCATATTTATCCTGGCACTATGGGTTGAATTGGAGGAGGGCCTGGAAGAGGGGGTTATTGATGACAGCATCTCCCTTGGCATTGGGCAATGAGACTCTGACTATAGTTGGCCTGTTACCTTCAAGATGTCTTGAATGATACCAGTCAGAGGATTGCAGGGCTAACAAGATGTGGGCTGCTGTCCCACTAAAGCTCTTTGCCTCTCTATTGGATCAGTGGGTCAACAAGAACTCATGTTCCTCTTATTCCTATTCCTAGTCCTTGTTTCTCTTCAGAGAGCTTTCTGGGCTTCATTTATTCATCAACTGAATACCCATCATGCTATGTTTATTACAAAATCTGGGCATGCATAGATGAAAATGCCTGCTCCCTTCTATCAAGTAACATACAGCCTAATGAGAACACATACATAAAAGCAAACAATGGTGTTATGAATTAAGAATCATTTTAATGGAAGTCTGTACAAAGTACAGTGGAAACATAGGAGGAATACCCAATACCAGGAGTATATGCAGGAGTCAGAAAAGGCTCCCAGAAAAGTTGGCTTTGATCTGAGACTAGAAGGATGAATGTTGTTGTTGTTACGTGCCATCGAGTCAGACCCGACTCATAGCGACCGCTTCTTGGGTTTCCGAGGCAGTATCACTATGGAAGTAGATTGCCCCATCTTCCTTGTGAGGAGTGGCTGGTGGGTTTGAACTGCCAGCCTTATGGTTAGCAGTCAAATGCCTTAGGCACTATGCTACCAGAGCTCCTGAAGGATGAATATCTCCTGGATATTTCAGATTAGAAGAATCTAGTCTCTGTGGGGCTGTGAAGTGAAGGGCAGAGGAAGTACACCTGGGTTATCTCTCTACAGGCCCATTGCAGTCCCACTTGAGCATTCTCACTGACCCATGAGTGTTTGTCTTTCTTTGAGTGGAGTTCCTATCACAGTAGTCAATGTGGTTCATAAATAGATCGGAATACAAGGGATGTTAAGTCTCCCACACTAGGGAGGCCTAGACTAAGGACAACGTTTCTTGCCCCACAGTGTCTTTAACATGTTGGAAGAATCTGGTCAGTTCTTATTAATTCGGTTGGTTAGCTAGTTAGTAAAAGGGGAAATTAGTTAGTTTTATATTACTAGGCCTTGATCTCAAGTGATATTCCTAAGCCCAACCTCTGATTACCAAGGAACTCAGAGGACCATGTATGTAGGGCAAACCTCATTGTCACTACATGAAAATAACTCTATGTCCAGGATGACAATAGTTTCATCTTACACATAGGGCTGGGTTCCTAGGATGAGGTGCTGGGAACGAAAGAGGAAGTAAAAAATGCCAAATAGTTAGGTCCACATTTTGAAGCAAAGTCCCACATAGTAGAATGAGGTATCTGTTTTTTCCCCTTTTAGAATAAGCCAGAGAAGATGGTGGACATAAGGCACTCAGCACAACTTATTATTTTTACAGACTCGACTCTTGGTTACACATAGCATTCACTTTCTCCCCCAAGTGGATGAAATTGTAGTTCTGGGAAATGGCACCATCTTGGAGAAGGGATCCTACAGCAGTCTACTGGCCAATAAAGGAGTATTTGCTAAGAATCTCAAGACATACGTCAAACAGACAGGTCCTGAAGAGGAAGCCACAGGTATGTAAGGAGGCTTGGGACAGGATAGAACTTGGGGCATGGGAAGGAATCAGAATGATGAACTGATATCTATCTCCTGGACTGTTCAGTATCCAGTGGGTTGGGTTTGAGTTTCAGGATCAATTCTTTTCATGGTTCGTGTGTCCGTAAAGAAACACAGGAATGGAAACTATGACTATCAGACTGGTAGCTCATCCAGCTGATCTCATCTCTGACATTCAATCAAAAGACATTCTTTAGAAGGTTATGACTGGAGATTTGGGGGGAGTAATGCTGGTGGAAGGAATACCAGTGGCATAAAGGGCCCCTTTAGGGATTCCATGCTTCTATTGACTCAGGCCATCCACCCATCCCACCCACTCCAAATCCAATAAAACCACTTCCCAGACAGCTTTGGTGTAGTTCATAAGGCATTTTGACTACTAACCAGAAGGCTGACAGTTCAATCCCACCAGCCACTCCTCAGAAGGGAGATTAGACAATCTACTTCTGTAGAGATACTGCCTTGGAAACCCAAGGAGGGGTCACTATGAGTCAGATTGACTCGATAGCAGTAAGTTTGCGTTTTGGTTTTGGACAGCTTTATAGGCTGGTCTAAACTGTGTATTGCTAAGTTCTTGACTCTAAAAAAGAACTCTTGATGAATGCACCAAGAACCATTCGGTGTTTTGGACCAGAGAAATCATGGCAGTGGTATAGCCACAGCATACTGCAGGAACATCCACTAATATCACTACCATTGGGTCACACATTCGCTCCAGTAGCAGTGGAGCTTTGGTCACTGTGACCTTTCCTAAGAACCTGCCAATAATACTCCTGTGCATAGTTCTGGTTGTCAACTTCACGTACTGGTCACCAGCAGGAGGACACAACTGAGAAAGCAAAGTCTGCAGGGTATAGGGGAATTCCAGATGGCAAGGGAGTAGTTGGAGAGCCTCTAAGTGGTCAGAACATGTGATGGTTTAAAACCAGAATCTGAAAGAAAAGCCTAAAAGAAGGCTATAAGCATAGGAAGGACAGGACAGGAACAAAGAAAAGAATGGTGTGGACAACAAGGGATTGAGAACCGGCCAGGGGAATGGCCGTGGGGTACCAGACATCAAACAGAAGGAAGGAGTCAAGAGTTGTTTTTTTTTTTTTTTTTTTTAAATCACTTTGTATGTGCTCCACGTCCCAGCCTGGAGAAAACAAAAAGCACTGGAGGATAAGTAAAGGACTCAAGCAATGGATTCCTCTGTGTTGACTCCTCAGTCAACCATGTTATTGTGATTTGGACAGTTTTCTTCTGCTAAGTCTGAATATTTTTTTTCTGATTTGCCTGTATCTGAGTTATTTGATTCTTCTATAACCTCCCATGGTTGGACAACCCTGTTTGAAGAATCCTATCTTTTGTGTACAAAAGGGAGTTTGCAAAACAGCCCAGTAAGTTCTTGTTCGGGTGAATATTGATAGGCTATTTCTGAGCAGTTATGTAAGTCCCAGTGCCTGGCATGCTGTGGTGTTCATTCCTGGACTTGAGTTACAGACCATGGAACAATAGAAAGAAGAGAAGGGCAAGAGGGCAAGATGAATTATAACCATATTGGCTCTCCGAGGTTATTTTTCAGATTGTTTACCTTGAAAACTAACATACTGCTAGTCAGCATTCAATGTTATCTTTCTCTATCATGTACACATAGGCATGCATGTGTTTATGTTCATTTTTTTAATTCATCTACAAATATTTTAGTATCTATGTGTGTAAGATTGGGTCACCATTTTTTACATCAGGCCACGTTTTGGTTTTTGAGATAAAATTTATTCTTTTAAAGTGTACAATTCAGTGGGTTTTAGTATATTTGCAAAGTTGTGCAACTATCACCACCAATTCTAGAACATTTCCATCTCTCCACATCCACTAGCAGGAACTCCCTATCCTCTCCTCTCCTCTCAGTCCCTGGACACAAGTTTCCCATCAGGTATATGATTGGCAAATATCTTCCCCCATTCTGTCAGTTGCCTTGTTACTTTCTCAATGAAGTCCTTTCAAGCACGAGTATCTTTAAATTTGATGAAGCCCAATTTATCAATTTTTCTTTTTGTTGCTTATACTTTGGTTTCATGTCTAAGAAACCACCGCCTAATCCAAGCTTATGAAGATTTATACCTATGTTTTTCCAATTTTAGCTCCTACATTTAAGTCTTTGATCCATTCTGAGTTGACTTTTGTATCTGAGGTAGGGGTCCTACTTCATTTTTTATTAATGTAAAAATATATGTAACACAGTGTTTGCCAATCAACCCTTTTCAGATACACAATTTAGTGATATCAATTACATTAATCATGTAGTACAACCACCACCTATAATCATTGCCCAATTTTCCATCATCATTAGCACTTACTGCTTCCTAACAGTGGCTCCCTCGTCTCCATCCCTCTGCCACTGGTAACCACTAATAAACTGTCATCTCTACACACTGCCTATTCTAGTTATTTCATGTGAGAACATAGAATGTTTGCCCTCTTGTGATTGACCTATATCATTGAGCATCAGTGTCAAATTGCCCAATAAGCAAAGTAAGCATGGGCTTATTTGTGCTTATTACTAATCTGTAGTGAACAATTTCACATTTTTTCACCACATCACAGATTCTGCTTCTTGGTATGGCTGGCGTCTGTCTCTCTCTCAATGCCATGCACCTTTCTACAGAATCAAAGCCTCCTTTCAAATTTACAGTCCCTGAGAGGGATGGAACACCCAGTAGTCTTGTTGGGTAATCTGCTCCTACTGAGCATAAAATTTCCAAGGATCATCTATGTTGCAGCACAGATCAGGACTTCATTTCTCTTTCTGGCTGAGTAGTATTCCATTGTATCTATGCACCACATTTTGTTTGTCCATTCATCCATTAATGGATACCTAGATTATTTCCACATTTCCACTATTGCAAATAGTGGAAATAAACATTGGTATACATGTGTCTGTTCGAGTTGCTACTTTTAGGTCACACCTAGGAGTGGAATTGCTGGGCCACCTGGTAGTTCTGTGTTTAACTTTTTGAGAAATTAAGTCCAGGGAACTGCTAGACAGGTCAAATAATGACAGTTCTCCAGGGCTAGGGCTTTTTAGGAAGCTCCAAACCCATTCTACCCCTGAGAGTAGCTGCTAGGCTGCTGGTTTTCATGGCTACCATGATTGTAAGGCTGTTGGTTTTCCAAGCTCCTGCAGAGCTGGGGAGAAGAGGATGGGAATAGGGTACATTAAAAACCAAAAACTCACTGTCTTCAAGTTGGTCCTGACTCATAGTGACTCCTCCTTGAGTTTCCGAGGTGGTATCTCTACAGAAGTAGATTGCCCAGTCTTCCTCCCAAGGAGTGACTGGTGAATTTGAACTGCCAGCCATCTGGTTAGCAGTCTAATGCCTTAGGCACTAAGATAATGCAAAACTTACAGTTCTTACAGAAATCCAGTTGCTTCTCTTGAATTAATTAATGGTTAATTTCAGAGTTCTGAAGAAAGTTGATTCTGACACATTTTGCCAGTATTCTCATTGCATTTATGGTGGGGCAGATTTTCTGACATCCTTGCTTTATCCAAGGAGCTCTGATGGCACAGTGGTTAAGGCATTTGACTTCTAACCAAAAGGTCAGCAGTTTGAACCCACCAGCCACTCCACTGGAGGAAGATGAGGCAGTCTGCTTCAGTAAAGATTTACAGCCTTTAAAACTTATGGGG